CTCTCTGCTCAGCAAAACAAACGCTGAACGCTATTTTGGCTTACTGCCTTTTGTTATAGAAGCACAAACATTCACATTTCTTTTGGTTAGTGAAAACAGGTATTGATGTGGGTCTTTCATTCTCGTGAGGTGGTGTAATGTGAACTTGGGAAAATGGGGGATACCTGTAATTGCTAGGTTTTTCTGGATCTAGAGAGGATGGTGGGAGAGAGAGAAAGAGAAATAGATCAGGTCTGTTTTGCATAAAATCCAGCAAGTGACCCAGAAAATCAACTGTCAGGACAGACACATTTCCTGGAAATCCCTTTCATATTTGCAGTCCTTCGCCTGGAGCCCAGGGCCTTTTGCCTAGAGCTTACCACCAGAGATGGGTCATATATTTGTTGATTGGCTGATTGATATAGGTGCTTCCATAAGTCATCCTCAGCCTTCACTTATCTGTTTACTACTTAATCATACCCTGACACACAGGAGGCACTTAGTGAGTGATAAACGAGTCTAGGCATGAAATTCACATGCCAACCCTCAAGATGCTCATGGGCCAGATGGGGGGAAATAAACAAGAACATGGAGCAGTGCAGCACCAGTGCCATTCTGAGAAGATACAGGTGCAGAGGAAGACCCAGCTCAGCCAGGAGTCAGGGAGTGGACGCAGAGGGAAAGGTGACCTCTTCAGAGGAACAACCTCCCTCCAGTGAAAGTGGCCCCATTGGCAGTTCCTTGCTAAGTATAGTAGTAGCATCTGAGGCAGGTGCTGGCTCCGTGTTTAGAGCTTTACCTGCCTTTATCACACTGATCCTGACACCTACCCTCTGAGGTCAGCATGAAGGAAGGAACAAGGGCCCCGTCCACAGCTAATGGCAGACCTGAGATCAAATTCAGATCACTGGACTCAGACCTTTGTCCCCTCCCTGATCCATCCTAGACAGTCTCAGGATGGTTGTAGCATCAGATACCTTTACGAAATGTAGTTTTCAAGGATAGTATGGGTGGCTGTGGGCAGGATGGGAATAGCTATTTCCTCCCCATTTCTCCTTCACCTCTTCCTCTGCCTGATGTCTCAGGCCTTTCCCTAGAAGCTCTCTGTTCGGGGTGCAGCACCTCCTTCTTCCTCCTCTCACCCTGTCTTTGATCAATGGACAGCTTGCACTTTGTCCTCCAAGGTGAGGGGAGGCGGAAATGCAGTTCAACAGAGAAGTAACCATAAACTTGCGAGAGAAAGAATGCTTTCTACAAAACACCTAATGTAATTCAAGCCTCCCCTTTTGCCCTGTGCCCTCCTGCCTGTGTCACTCAGATGGTCAGTAGCTGCAGGGAACAGACTTCAGGGGATCTTGTTTCGGCACAGGGACCCCGATCAAAAGGGTTGCCTAAAGCTGTCTTTCTTGGGCACCTGCACAAACCTGGCTGGCTTGTCCTTTTAAGCATTCATCTTGTCAGGACAAGCCAGGCCACACCACCCAGGGAAAGGGGCAGGTGGGGCCTCTTACTAGTACATGTGTATTATTTTCCTGAGGCGCCCTGTCCTGCGTGCCACTTGGCTAAGCAACCTCTGACAGTGGCTCCTTTCTTTGCTGCAGTGAGATGCCACAGTGAACCTGTAGGCAGGTGAAATGAGCACTGGAAGGGGAGTCAGAGCTGCCTCTTACCCGCTCTGAAGACCTGGCCTCTTGATCTCGCCTCCAGTTGGTTTTGTGGGGCCTGGGAACCTGCCAACGTTAGACTGTGCTGCATCTCAGAGCACAGAACACTGTGAGTATGTGGTAGAAATACAGGAGACAATGACTTGGACATTCAGAATCTGGAAAAGACACAGAATTATGAATTATCAATATCATAATTATCATCTATGGTTGATCCATAATTGATGTGATGCTAGTTATGAGTATTATTATGTGTTCCTGTGGGTGGCCTTCTGTGCTCGCAGAGATAGCTTGGTGAGCTTGGTGTGTCTACTCAGCTCAGACTGTCAAGGTCTAGTGACATCCTTGTGTGCCAGGCACAGTTCTGGGCTCTGGGAGCACAGAAGTGAACAACATAGTCTTCCTGCTCAAAAAGCAAAAATGCAGCAATTTGCTGTCCATCTTTCATTAAAGTCACTTCTCTGAAAGAAGGACAAATGTCTTACTGATTCCCAAGTCAGTATCATCAACCATGAAACCGAGTATCCTGACTGTGGCACCATTCAGTGCTGTGCTAGAGGCAACCACAGAGTGCCTTGGCCACTAAATTTAGCTTGGACGCTATGAGGGTGCAAGGGAACATCCACTAAGGAGGCTGAGATGCAGACATCAGGCTGAGGGGAAAAGTGCATGCTAGGCAGGGGGCTGGTGAGAAGTACATTGTCACCCTGGGCAGCTGTGGTGTGCTCTAAGAAAGGCAGGGAAGGAGGTTTGGTTGGAGAGGAGGGTGGTAGAGCTCTAAACAGGCAAAGTAACCATATCAGGAAGGGCCTTACTGATGAATTTTGGATTTCATTCTGAAGGCACTGGGGAGCTACTGCAGGATTTCACACGAGTGAGTCTCTAGCAATAAGCATTGGAAAGGAATAAGACAGGTGGCAGGAAGACTGGTTAGAGCACCACTGTGGTTTGGAAAGTGGAAAATACCTGGGGTTTGGAGGCAGAAAGACCTCAGTCTACATTCCAGCCCTATAATGTCCTTGTGCAATTGGCACTATTGTTAAAAGTCTCTGAACATCTGTCTTCTCATCTGAAAACAGGGACTCGAATTCCTCCTGATTCCTTGCTGGTATGGGGAGTGTCAGATCTATGTACCTCATATTATAGTGATTCATCCATAATTGATGTGATACTAGTTATGAATATTATTAATATTGTTATTTTTTATCATGCAGGTGAGAAATAATGAGGTTCTAAGACACTGGCAATAGGGGTGGAGAATTGGGCAGGGACTCAAGAAATACTTTGGCAATAAAGTCAACACAATTTAGTGACTGATTGGGTGGGGGAGTAAGGGAGGGGCCGGAATCTAGGATGACTTGGGATTTTGGCCTGGGCAACCAACAGGAAGGATAGTGGCACCTTCATTAGGAAACGTAGAGGAGGGGGAGGGGGAGGGAGAGGAAGGAGGACAGAGCAGTATTTGCAAGAAAAGATAATGAGCTCAGTTTCAAACTGAATTTTTTTTTTATTAAAGATTTATTTATTTATGAGTACAGGCCAGAGGTGTGGGGGCAGGAGGTGGGGGGTGGTAAGAGGATTCACCAGAGACAGAGTGGGGAGCAGAACAGGCAGATCTACTGAAACACACTGCTGGAGGGAGCAGTGGGCGAGACAGGACAGGTCTGTTGCGCCATGTGGGTTGCTCCCTGGCCGCCAGGGATCGAACTCATGCTGCAGTGGCTGCAGGTAGCTTCATAGTGCTGTGTCTTAACCCCTTGCACCACCAGGGAGGCCCCTCAAACTGAATTTGAAGCATCCTAGGGACATCAGGAGACATGTCTAATGGGTAAACAGTGTTGTAGATTTGACATTCATGAGTGAGGTCTCGAAGAAGATTCACATGCAAACTTCTAACAAGAGGTAATGAAGTGATGGCATGGGTCAGCTGCTTGGGTAAGAGGCGGGGGAGAAGAGTTACAGAGGCGAGTGCTCATTGAATTTGTACTGTGTGTTCTAAATGCTCTCTTGTGTATGAGTCCTCTTAGTTCTGTTGCCAGGGAGGACTATTATACTGATTTCACAATGAATAAACTGAGGCACAGAGACAGTAAATAACTTGCTCAAGATCATACAGCTGTGAGGGGCCGAGGATTGTAGCAGGCAGGATCTGGGGCCTGTGCCAGACTGCCTCTGAGCGTGAGGGGCAGTGGGGTGCAGCACTGAGGGAGAGGAGGAAGGGGACCTAATGCAGGCAGCAGGGGAAGGGGCTAGGCAGGGAGGTTAGAGGACTGGAAAGTGGAAGAGGAGGGATTCCAGGAGGGAGGGGACAGGAACAGAGCAAGAGAAGTTCCCACAGAATGGCCACAAACACACTGCATACTAGAAGGAGGATGTCTGTCTTTACTTTCCTTTTCCACACAAATTTGAAATATTTTCCCTCTTGTTCTGGGCAGCTTCCATGTTGATCTTTGGAAATCACCAAAGAAGTCTCTGGTAGGTGTTTCAAATCTTCAGTTTTTATTAGGTGGAGTAGAGAAAAACTCCATACAATGCCCAGAGTCACATGTTAAATCCAGACCATGTCAAATTCATGCACAGGACATCCTCCACTGAACTTGAGTTTACGATACGCTTTGAGAGAACATGATGTATGGAGGTGGGGGAACACTTTTTAAACTCGATGTGAGGGCCTCCCTGGTGGTGCAAGGTGTTGAGACATAACCTACGATGCTGTCCACAGTCCCTGCAGCACAAGTTCAATCCCCGGCCACGGAGCTACCCACATGGTGCGGCAGACCTCTCCTGACTTGCCCGCTGCTCCCCTCGGCAGTGTATTTCAGTCAGTCTGCCTGTTCTGTCCCCAACTCTGTCTCTGGTGAATCCACTCACCCCCCACACCTCTGGCCTGTACCCCAGTTCTTGTATGCATAAATAAACAAATCTTTAAAAATAAATAAACTGGATGTGAGACACCTGATCCTGAGCTGAGAGAAAGGTGGTCAGAAATGAAGGTAAAGCTATAGGAGACAGAGTTCCTTGGTTTTTGTTTGACGTTTTCTGGGGCCACAACCTTCTCCTTAGAGTGACCCTAGATGATTTGACCACTGCCACTTAAGTTCTTTATAATGGAAAATAATGACATTTCCTTATGAATACTTTCTTACCAGGCTCCAAGGACACAGATCCAACAGACCCTAAGAAGCTATATTTTTCTAGAGCCAAAGACATAGCCAAAGCTATATTTTTCTAGAGCTTTTTAATACTTAGGATTTTTTTTTGTTATTCAGAACTGAAGTCTTTGATATCACATGGGGTTAAAAACTTGACTTAAGCAAGAAATTGAGAGGTCCTGACACCTTTGATGCTCACAGCTGCCAACTTCATGTATTTGCCTCAGTTGAAATGGCACCTTTGCTCTTCTTGGGCCCATCTCGGTGAAACGTGCACCTGTACAGAGGGCCTTTATGGGTGGTGGTCACCCAAGAGACAGTGTCCAGAATCAGGAAAGCCACATGGGAAATGGCCTTGAGATATATATTTCTGCAAACAGAGTAGCAATTCAGCTGAATTATTTGCTTGAACTTGAGCTTTGTGTATGAGGAAAAGTGAACAGTGTGTCTTTCAGAAGTCACATTTCAAACTTGAAGGTTTTCTTGAAATCAGAGGAAACAGAAGCAAGGAGGGGTCACTCCATGCAGCCTCCACCCCACCCTGCCCTACCCAGGTCTTTCTTCTGGACATGGGCATAGTGCAGAGGCCTTTGGCTGGGTGTGGGGGTGAATGGACACGCTCCTTGGGAACGGAGGGAAGAAGCTGCAGGAGTCTTGCCCCCCTCACTCCAGCAGTCAAGGAGCAGAGGCTGTCCTTTATTGCTCTGGCCAGAATACTGTACTGGTGAGCACAGATGTGGATTCAAAGATATAACCCTCCACAGAGCTTTATTCCAGTTCCACGGGGACTGATTATGGTCTCATAGGCAAGGGCTATGTAGACATTCCACGTGGATTCCAGAAATGAGTGACTAGGCTGTACACATGCTCCAAATATCCCCATTGAATTGCAGCTAGCTAGCTTTTGAACAAAGGGGGTGTCAGAAAGATCTGAAAGGCAGTAGCTGGTTTGCTCAGAGAGTAACAGCTTTGATACCTAAGATTCTTTCATTTGTATTTGATTTACTAGTAAAATCTTTTTTCATCTAATCATTTGTTCATTGAACAACTGCTGTGCAGCTGGCTCCAGGCCAGGTGAGGGTAATTTAGCAGTGATTCAAAGTCTCAGTTCTTGCCTTCTTAGAGTTCACAGTTGTTAGGGAATTGTCATTTTAAAAAATATACAAGTCCAGGTTATAAACTATGGTGAATGAGATGTTGGAAAAGAGCAGGGTGCTCTAGGAGGGAGAAAGAGAAGACAGGTTAGACTGGGGGGTGTCCGGTGAGGAACTACTGTATAGGACATGCCATTTATTGGTGGGATATCATTTTCAAGAAACAAGGGCCTGACCCTTGGATAGGGCTGAGGGGACAATCCTGGAAGGCTTCATAAGGAGGGGATATTTAAGAAGCACCTTGAAGATTAGTTAGATGTTTTCTTATGTGGAATGGGAGTGCTGGTATTCTGGGTGAAGGGAACTTGATATTCCTGGAGAACTCCCATTCAATGAGGATGGAGGTTTGGCTACAGTTTGGGGTGAGCGATGATCCCAGAGAGACAAACAAGTGCCAGCTAACACACTTAGACTTCATCGTGGAAGTAAGTCACTGGAGGGAATAGTGAGCTACCCAGGTGGCTGTTCTAGAGGAAATTACCAACGGTTCAGCAAACTTTTTCTGGAAGGGACTAGATCATCAATATTTTAAACTTTGTGAGCCCTGAAATCTCTGTTCAGCTCTGCCATTGCAGGTGGAAGCAGCTGTAGCTAATGCTTAATGAATGAACGTGGCTCTGTTCCAGTAAGACTTAGGTACAACAACAGGAAGTGGGCTGGATTGCCCCGTGAGCTGTAGCTCACCAACCTCTGCTCTAGAATGATAGTTCTGGAGGCTCAGGGAAGGTTGGACTGGAGGGTGGAGAGAGACTAGAAGTAGGGAGGTCAGTCAGGAGCCATTGCTTTAATTTGAGAGAACCAAG